ACACAAGGTACGAGCCTTTGGTTTGGGGGGGAAACCTCGCTCCCAAACTTACCATCTAAGAGCTCCAGAGTTACAGTGCCATCAACGTATTCCCACCAGTGCTTCCCGTCCGTGGAGACTGGGATCTCCCAGTTGGACCACTTACAAGCCAGGTGGATACAGACGCAGGCCACAACGGGAGGGGTGTACTGCAGGCTGAAGGTGGTCAGATGCAGGCTGACGGCACCAGCAGGGAGAGAGAAACAGAAAGCCATGAACTCCCAAGCCTGACCCTCAGCACTCACCAGCGCCCACTGACCACTGCACGAGGTGGGGACACGGGGGGACAGCCCTGCGGGGTCCTCCCCTGCTCCTGCTGGGGCTCACTTGGGTCCAGGCAGCTCTGGTCAAGGCTCTGCCAGCCCCGAGCTCTGCTGCGGGCTCTGCTGCAGCCAATTCCAAGGGCAGCTCCTGGGTTGGATCTTCCGAAGTTTAGGAAGAGCGCCAAAGCTGCGGGTGGCACCAACGTGCCTCAGGGGCCAAGGGGCAGCTCAGCACCAGCAGTGGGAGGTGTGAGAGGGGAGAAGCGCTGCCCTGAGCACACATCCTGCTCTCTACCTGCAGGAATATGGGGTCCCATCAGGCTCAGAGCCCCTGGAGCACCCCATGGGCAGGGCAGGACCTGCATCTCCTCACCATGCTCAGGTCATGCCACACTGCCCAGGGCAATGCAGAGGGACAGAGAGCTGCAGGTCACTGGTTCTCCAGACCACCACCAAGCCAAAGGCAGGGAATCGGGAGCCTTTGGCCACTCTGCCAAGGTAAGAAGTGGAGCTGGGTGCTCAGAGCACCAGAAGGAAATCATCCTGATCAATCCAGTCCCTCACTTCAGCACCTTGCTCTGGGCTCTCCTGGCACCACTTTAAGGCCACATTAAGGCTGTGTTTCCTTCCCCTCTGCCTGGATTTCTTTCCATTCCAACCTTAACTCATGATTCCTTGGGTTTGCCATTGCTGCTGCAGGGATAAAACCCATCACAGGGATGCTTTTCCCTA